TAGTTCATATATATATATATATATATATATATATATATATAGTGTTGTGAATTGTAATGTACTTAAAATCTTAAATTACAAAAACATATTCGCATTTTCTTATGACATTTAATATATCAGTCATACTTTGACAGCTTAATTTATAATCAAGTCATAAGATCTATTACTCTTAATAAATAACAACTTACCTATCTTGCATTCATTGAGACTTATCATGCATAATATTAAATGCAATTAGGTGGCTTAGATGGCAGCACTTTTCAGCTAGGATTGTAAGCCCATTTGCATTTGGTTTGCGTTCTTTCTTTTCTTTTAGACTAGGTTTCTGAGGTTTCACTTCCTTAAGTGAATCTCACTTCAGACTTAGGATTCCAATGTTGCTCTTCTAGTTACAACATAAATCCTAGACCTTCTCACAGTTATATATCATGCAATATAAGTCCTATCTTCTAATGAAATATCAAGATAAAAGATCAAATAAACTTCTTTCAAATACATTAAATCCAATCAATAGAATAGTGGAGATGTCACGGATTGTCCTCATTATTTTTGACATCTCCTACCATTACTTCCATTAATAATTTCATTTGAAATTCCTGATAATCAGTCATGAAAACTTGAACTTATAAAATTTATTAAAGATAAAACATCAATCAAAATTGAATGTTTTTATGCTAGTTTTGTCACTTAAGATCTAAATAAATATAATGGTATGCATTTATAGGAAGTTTGCAACCCAGATTTAATCTAAACCCTATCTAGTCTTCGGATTAGATATGGGAAAAAATTATCAATTTAATAGTACACCTTACTAATATCCAAAATTTCTTAATTTAAACAATTAAATAAATCACAAAGTGATATTTCTATCTTTCGAGATGATGTATTACTTTTGATAAATATTTGATTATTTAAATAATCAAATCTTTGAATCTGTAAACTATTCAAAACTATATAAAATCGAAAAATTCTCTCACGTGAGAGGGTTTAATTTCTTTAAAAAAAAAGTTATATTATTTTATTCGTATCAATGGAATTATTTGGTTAGATCACTAAATTTCCAAGAAAAAAAAAGTTTGTGATCTTAGCCACTGCATATGTTGGTTTTGCATTTAGTTTCAAAGTATTGGCTTTAGCAATCTATTTAATGGATAAATTCTTATTCTCACCTTTAAAAATAAATCCAATATAATTTTCAGATGAAAAATGACAACCGGTTACTTTTGATGCACGATTATTCATTTGCTTGAATAATCCAATGATTTTGATTAACTAGGTTAAGAAGACATGATTTTCTTTTCATTCATTTGTGGTGTCATATGAGAGATTTAAAACATATTTTTCATCAATTTATTTGAATAACTTCTATGTTATAATAGGTTCATTCTTTTACTTTCATAATTCTCAAATAGTTATTTTATCCTCTTTTTAGAAAACAAACTTAAGCATTGGCTTTCATCATACATAAGTAAAAGATTAAATTTGTTTTCAATTACTTATCATTAATTTATATTATATGAACTACATTTCTAATATATTTAATTCTAACTTAGTCTTTATAAACTTCCTATGCATCTATCATATATTTCTTACTACCATGATCAATTTACTTATTAATAACTTATTTTACCCAATAATTAAATTCATATAAATTTGTTGGCTTGATTATAGTTTAATTAATTTATATTTTTATATTTGTCACACTAAGCTTGCATAATGACTTTCCTATTAGCCAACCATTAGAAGCACATAAAATTATTGACCTATTTTATAGGAAAAATAGGTCTTAATAATATCCCCTTATATTTCTCTATCTCTCTTAAAATTGTGTGGCTTATACTCAATTTTTGTTTTACTGATTCTATTCTAAGACCTATATGTTGTAAATATTTTCTTCAACATTCTAAGTTTTTCATTGCTATTCTAGATGTATTATTGATTACAATTATACATTTTCAAAAAAAATTATTCCAAAAGTATTTCAATTAGGTGGGCACTAGTTAGCTTAGTTGATAAAAATCTTAAGAAAGCTACATTAATAATTTTTTTTTAATCAATACCAAAATATATACTCATAATTATGGATAAAATCATAATGTAATTAGAAGTTCATAGTCACTCAAAAACTAAATTTAATATTAGAAAATAGTCCATATCACTAATAGCTTCACAAATTTATATGACATTTCTTTCCCAAATAAATCAACCAAAATTATTGTGAAACATTGTCATTATTTAAAGATCACTAAAAATATTATTATTTATTTGCTTTCTACAATTAATTTTTTTCTCCTAAATTAATTACAAGAACATATTACCCAATCGTACTATCTCTAAGAAGTAAAATAAAATTTAAAAACAATTATGTATTAAAACAAATAGTGGTTGATACAAAATGCACCTATAAACCATTAATATTTCATTTCATGCCTTTATTCAAATTGGATCGCACATTTTATTTACAAGAGCTTCAAATTCATGCCAAAGGTGCTTAAACCCCCCATCCAACTAGAATAAGTAGGTTTAATTTCCACCCTAAAACCAACACTGGGCAGATCCATCATTCTTTTTTAGGGCGAGCAAAATCATCAAATATGTATTTCTTTTTAATTACTTGGTAAAAAAGAATAATGAGGGTGGGTGGAGTGCAAAATTACTAATGTACTTATATAGATGAATCGCAAATTCCAAGATGGGCAATTGACCACCCTGAAAAAAGTAAAATTATTGTGTCCGCCCACCGCGCACTCTTTTACCAAAAAGTGTATGTCAGTGGGTCAACTTTTATTATTTTTTTTTTTTAAGAAAAAAAATTCATTGGACGGTGCATGCGAGATGCGTGCGTCGTCAGCACGCAATAATCCCTCAAAATAATCCCGAAAAAGACCCAGTTTCGGACTTTTTTTGCTTAGCTAGGCCGGACATAGAAAAACTCTTTAAGAAATCATAAATATATCATAAACTACAACAGATTAACTTCATTCATCATGAGTTAAACAAAATAAAAAATAATAATAATGTAATCAAATAAAAAAAGTAAACACAATTTACAAAGAAAGAAACTAATAGTAACAAAATAAATTAAATTTTTTGAAGAAATTTGTTCATTTGGAAAAACCTTACCTGTTCTTGGGAATGCACATAATTGTTCAGCCCATAGTAGACCACATTTTTTCTCTCTTGAAATTGCTAGATACTTTTCTCAACAGGATGTGCTTACAACACTCGTTGCTTGCAAAGCCTCCATACAACCAGCAGGAGAATTTTGCTCCTAGCAGCTCTCTATCGCTCCTCAAAATTTTGACCTAAATAAGTTAAATTTATGCCTGTTATAAAATATATCATAATATTATTTGACAAATATAATTTGAAATATCTGCCTAAAACTTCTCAATATAATAAGCCTGAGGCATGTCTCAATTAGAAAAAAAATGTAAACCGCGCTTATACCATTAAAACATATAAAATGGGGATGTATAATAGAAATGTGTCTGCACGAATCATGAAGAAATTTGACGATTCAGTGTAGACGCAACTGTGACGAGCGAAGGATCGACTGACCATTTACCATCGATCCATACTAGGACACAGTAATCGGTTCAAGCGAACTTGAGCAGACCGGACTATTCACTGCTCGGTTCCTTACACTTTAAAGAACTGTAATACTATGAGCTTGATTGATCGGCCTACTCAAAGAGCAACCCGATCGGTAGAATGCTCCTACCCAGAAGTACCAACAGGAAGGAATATTGATCACATATTTGTATAATATTAAATTAACTTATAGCATCTTACTAAAACGAGGGCAAAAAAATAATCTCTAGTATTTAAACAAAGGGTCCATTATTGAATAAAGTTTACGCATCCTTCTACTATTCCTAGTTGCGCTCTCTCTTTCTTTTATCTACAACACTAATCTTTGTGCATCTCTCCCATACAATTTCGGATTCAACAGGATCACTCTTTGGCGCACGATGACGTGTACATTTTGAATGTAATTTTAATCGACGGTTATTTGCAAGGAGTTGTCTTCGTGATATTTTGCAGTATCAGCAACCATGTTGTACCCTTGATGGCATTTCTAACAGACTGAATTTAAATTAACCTTACTCACAACATGTTCATGATCTGAATTTATTCACAAATACAACTTTCAAATATACCCTCATAAATATCATAAAATTTCGATTTTATAACATCCAAAATAACTAAATTTAAATGATTTCTTATTTTTTTAATTAGATAATTTATAATATAATACTGATTGATAAAAAAAAGTAGTAAAGTTCAGCCATTTGGTATTTCAAAATTAGTAAGACTTCTTTTTATTTCTATTTTATATATATGCGGGGAATACACACTTCGAGGCTAACTTTCAATAATGCCTCACATGTATTTGATTTGAATTCCTCCCACTAATTTCATTGTTTGGGAATTTTCATTTTTACACAACGGTCAAGAAATTTGATTGGGGGATTCAACTTCATGCACGAGTAACTTTCATTTCTCAATTATTGTGCCATGAATTCCCAATCCTTTCATAGATTGATTTTATTTTCATTTTAATTTTGTGCATATTTTCATCAGGTTTTATAAAGCTTTGAAGCTCCAAATGCGTTGATGCCTTTCATTTTATAAGAAAATAAGAAACCTTGAATGACTGGCTACACACATTTTGGATTGGCAGCTTGTCATCAACACTGCAATTACTTGAATTGATGTTGGGAAATATGCAAAAATGTCAACAGCATTTACATGTACAACGAGCTAAATAAAACTAAATATTTCTTCACTATCCAGTTTAACTCAAATCAACATGAACACGATAAACAAATAACCGATTTAAAATAAAAAAAAGAAAAAAATTTGCCATACTTCTTTAAAAAAGGAAACCTATAAATTATCCTAGTACTGAATTTTATTTGTTTTTAATTCATTTGATGTAACAAGGAAGAAGGATCAGAGTAATCATGCTGAATCAGAACCTAAATTGATAAAAGATTCTCTCTCCGTAATGCCTAGAGGCGGCCTTTTGTCTGTAAACCTTCAGATCCTTATGGCTATTATGCTTCTATTAAGATTAGTATGGCTTTTATTGGAGAAGGAATTGCAATTTCAGAAAGCAGAATGTAGAGCAAGATCTACATAATTGTATAGGCTGGACCACCACCTCCTTCGGGCACTGTCCACTCAATATTCTGTTTTGGATCTTTAATATCACAAGCCTGCCAAAAAAATAATTGAGAAATAACATAAGGAAATGATCTTTCACAACGATTCTAATAATGCTTTAGAACAAATGCCATAGGGTTGTTTGATATGCTGAAAAAGAAATGCGCTGTAAAAGTAATATACCGTACTTAGAAATTATTTGGTTCCACTAAAATAAATGCAAGACTTCAGATTTTCTTATTTGGTTTGAAGAAAAATGAAATCAGTATAAAGTATGTGGTCAGTGATGACAAGCATCAAGCAGCAGTTAAGAGGAGGGCTGCAGCGGTAAGCGGTGGAGGGCTGAAACAGGTGGTGAGTGGCGGCGGATGGTAGTTGACTGGCGGCAAGTTACAGGCATCGATGGCAGTTGCATGCAAGGTAGTCTAGTTGAAATTCACCCAGATCCAACAAATTCCAAATACATTGAAAATGAACTAAGAATGAATTTTAATTATTTCATTATTTCATTGCATTTGGAATTCATCCAACCAAACACCAAACTTTCTAAAACTTTTGCAAAAAGAATGCAAGAACTCATTTTCTAAACAAGCCACTAATGCTTTAGCTTGCAAATTCGTGATTTGGTTTGAATAAAATCAAGGCTACAGTAATTTAAAAGAGGAAAGGTCACTTTTTTTTAAATGCGTGGGATAGTGTTTTTTCCCCCCCTTCTATCTCTCAAGTTGGCGGCTCCTCTTCTTTTCTACGTAGAGTTTTCTTGCCTGAGTTATCTAGAGCGCTCCTCCCCTTTTGGCTTCGGCTGACTCTCCTCCACCTTCATGGATCCTAACTTAGACCCGTCCTCCTCTAAATTGTCTTGTGCGCCGATGAATTGAAAGAGTAAGCTCACTTATGAGTTCTTCAAGTGCCAATTATCACTTTCAAATGTCTTCTGCACTGATGTGAATGTCAATTTCTCTAATGAAAAGGTAGAGGAGGAGCAGAAGTTTGAAATCCCGCTCTTGTTGGGTAAGTTAATGGGTATTGTCTATTACACAAAAATCTTTCAAAGATTGTTCAAACATTGGGCAAATGCATTGAAAACCATGTCAACGCATTGAACAGCATGCACATCTTTCAAAAATACATCAATTTGCCGGAATCAATATGTTTGCTTGTGAAGACCCAGCATGCAAGGTAGTCTAGTTGGAGAATATTGCACAGACTTAAAACTAAATAAACTTAAATTGCCTCACACCAAGAAGCATGGAACCATTCTAAATAAATATAATTATTTCAAAAAAAGAAAAAAAAAAGGTGGGTGCAAGCTCTCTTTTAAATCAAATTCATGGGACATTTTATTGTGTGAGGTTCTCAAACAAGCTAATGCCCACAGGGCAAGATTGTAAGTCTTATCTTGTGAAATCTGACCTCCATGTACGTACTACTAGACTTTCACATCTTGATGAAATATTGCAATAGTAATTAAAAATAAGTTCTCTAGTGAAGCAAATATGCAGTCGCATACTCAATGAGTAAAGGATCAAAATAGTCCCAACTATTTACATGGTGACATTTTAGACCTATAGTTTATTGACATGCCAAAATAATCTCTGATTATTTTAAAATCGAGCTAATTGTCCTCAATGAAGATAATTCCGGCCCCAATTTAAAGACTTTAGGGACTATTTTGGCACTTATATAAACTTTGAGGCTAAAATGGCGCCATATAAATAATCGGGGACTACTTTGGCACTTCACTCAATAATTACCTGAAAAACTTGAAAAACATCAATTTATTCCATTTACATATAATCTCAGTTTTTTATAAAGGAAACTTATTTTAAAATGAAAGCTCTCGATGCATTTTTACTTGAAAAATATCATAAGCATTTCAACCTATATAATTAATCTTTTAAATACAATGATGGAGCAGTGGCCTGTGTAATGAAATGAACAATTAAATAAATTTGCAGGCAAGTAGACAAGGTTGAAAACATCAAAAAGAACAAAATGAAATTGTTTAAATACTATGAAGATAGCCACATTGATAGATACTTTCAACAAAAAGGAGATCTTTATTACAAAATGCCCTCAAACTTTAACGTGAATCATTTTAGGCTTAAATCTGAATGTAATATGAAAATTCAAGAAAATTACAAAATCTAAAAAATTTCAACTAATGTTTGATGTCCTTAAGCTTCAAGCAATAGTTAATTTATCATTGAAAATAATGTAACGAGTAATAATTTTATGATTAATCTCAACTCATAAAATGTCAATGTCATATAAGATGTATAACTAAATCACTCTTAAGAAGATCTTATAGTGGCAAGTATATAGCACATATCATTCGGCAGGTGACTTTGCTGCAAAATGGAATCACAAAAATATATAATTATAATGAATGTCCTCTAATCAAGTGACTTGCTATGAAAATGCACTATTAAATTACGATCATGGCTAAAACGCTGAAGTTCCCTAATGACCCAAATTCTCTAAGTACTGAATTATACACTAAACTTAACAAAGCACGGAATTATAATGTTAGCTAAAATCGTCTTAGAATTTTCCTCTTAGATAAACATTAAAAACAATCCATAATTTTTGACAAGCATTATTCATTCAGATAACATTGACAATCTCTTCATAGTAGACCAAAGTTTACAAAAACTTGAGCAGAAGGGAGCATGAGATTTTGATTGAGTTCATCATTATTCTTTCCATAATCCACTCTAGATTCAGGATGGTGATTTTCTTAATTTTAAACTAAAAATATTACTATTATATGATATAGGCTCAACGTCCAACAAAAAGCTTCAATTGAATGTTTTCGCTTATTACCGAGAGAGAAAATTAACCATATGGGCTTATGCCAAAAAGAAATCTAGAACAATAACTTAAAATTTTTCGAAAATGAGGGTAAATTTTTTACGTTGCGTTATATTTAAAAATCTAATCTACCTTCTAAAAACTTTTCTGAATAAAATCTCTTAAGAGGGGCAATAATATAGTATAAAAATTCAAAAAGTCAAAAATACCAAGTAGCTATCAATCAATATAGTAATTTTCCACATAAATATTAATGATGGGTTGTTTATTTGATGGTGGCGCCTACTGATAGAGAGCAGGATATGAAAAACTCTATTGTGGGAAGAAGGAAAGTTGAGGGGCAATTGTCATTATCCAATGGTAAGTCTGTGCAATATACAGTACACGAGCAGAAAAGTTAATTATAGTTTGATCGTATACTGTTGTTGGATCTAAAATATTGTTAATATTACAAATAATACTGTTGTTGGATATACCTTTCTAGTTACGTTTTAGATCCAACAACAGTATACGATCAACTCATAATTTCATTTAATTATAGTTTGATTTGTAATATTTTATGTGTATTTCATTGAGTTGGGACATTTTTAGAGATTTATACTGAGTACGAGTTGCTATTCAATATACAGTACAACCACAAGAAGAGAAGAGGAGCACACCTTACAATGAAGGCAGTTTTGAGCATTGATTTGGAGCTTCTGACCAAGCTTCTCATCAGGAATATACCTTAGTCAAGTTAAAAAACTGTCAAGAATTTATTCTGCCAGTTTTAACCAATAGTTTCCAAGAAGATAGTCTTTGAAGGTTCAAAACTTACTCATACACACGAGCAGGGCAATACCGCGACTCAGGTCCTGCAAATTTTGGGAAGTTCACATGTTGAGGAACATTTGGATCCCTCAATCTGAGATGGACAGGCTGGTCATGCTCATGGTTTGTGTTGCTCCTGCATAAGAAATAATGATTTGAAAAGGACATTCAATGGGCAGAAGCACTTACACAATGTGTTTAAATTGTGAATAATTGCTTAAATGCTCATCGATTACTAACTTGCATTGAATTCTGATAAAAAACAGCCCATCATTAACATCCGCACAACAATCAGAAGAGATTATATGGCCCCATAAGAATCTCAAAATAAAAGTTAAGTTATTCCATACCATATAAAAAAGTTTAATTATAAAATAATGAAATACCTATGTAGAACTGGGGGAATGCCCAGGGTTTAGTCATGATGATAGGTTGTTCATCACTCCTCTGGATCTTCATCAGGCTAATGAAGGTGAGATTGTTTCTTTTGTTGTTCTCTGGAATTTTCATTAGTTGCTACATTACATCTTCATAACTAATTGGCTTATAAATAAGAGGCATTAAAATGAAAAGCTATGTTAATCAATAGCTATGTTATTTTTCGAGTTCAATTATCCAATCCCATAATATAGTTTTATAACTTTAAGCTTGATTCTTAATAATTACAGTATTTTTGAACATGTCCTCTCTCCATAATAAAGAATAGTATAAAAAAAGGCAATCCCCATCAATTCCACCTCCATTAATGTTTCATCAAGCCCAATAGTCCACCTTTATTCCTATCATGCCACCTTAATGATATGTGAAATTAGTAGTCACATCATCATTTCGTGAGTTTTTTTCAATTCTTATGTAACTATTATTCTACCCACTCATCAATTCATCGGCTAATTTAATTATTCTTCTCTAATTTTGCATATTCCATATCAAAAGCTCCCTTAGGACATAAATATTACAAAAATATTGGAATGAAATACAACCAATTATCTCCAATTCCTGTCAGGGTATCAGTCATAAGCTTTTTTCTCATCATTTTTATAAACCACAGCCTTCACGCTGCAGTACCTGCAGCTTACAAGCCTTCAATGTTGTAAATCTCTTTTCAATCCACCAACCCTTCTTATTTGTAGCCTTTATTTCTAACCTTATCTCTATAATTCTTTCTCTTTGTTACCCATTGCTACCACGTTTTCCTTCTTGCAGATTACAAAATTACTTGATTTCCCGTAACCATAAATTCATGTACAGCTAAACGGGGAATCCAAATCTAATGAGAGAATTATAAAACATAAATTCAACACATCATCATATCGTTTTAATAGAAAGACTTATCTCAAGTGATTACCATTGATTTGCACATTATTAATGGAAAGAAAAAAATTGAGCCATTTTTATGTCACAAAACGTCAATATGATGATCCTACATTCAATACTCCAGAAGAACAAATGTATTCTACATTCTAATTATGGAAAATTGTTGTTCCTAAAATAAAAGACACGTGTTCACTCTACCCAAAAATAAAAAAAATTTAAAAATTGGGACAAAAAAACATATGTACATTAAGATCTTTGATGTGGCCCAAATGTAACAGATTAGAACAAAGAACTCGGCCGCAATGCCATGTGGGAAATACACCATAGAATACTTGGATCTACCATAAGATCTTTGGCAAGAAATGCATAACTATAATACATCTACATGGAATACAGTAAATATGTAGTTATTCTTAAAGGTTATGTTAAAAAAGACTGAATTTATGATCCTTTTTGGGATTAAGTAATAGTTTCATGTAATAAAAGTATAAATTCTCAGAAAAAATGAATTACTTTCCCAAATGCAGTCATTACTAGAGGGTTTGTTCCCAAAGGCAAAGGCTGTGAAGATCACACGCTATGATTAAAAACTCTTTTCTTCAAGGAACACTAGTAGTCACACGCAACTAAATTGGTCAATATAGACTCCCTCTGATGCGCATATTGCATAAAAGTTTTGACATACAAAAGAAAGATTTTGAAAGTTTTATGGCAAGCTACCTGATGTGTGTAGGAAATGTCATAGAATATGTTTTATTTCATCATTTTGATGTTAATTTTACATGCTTGAAAGATATTTATGATGTGTTTTGCAGAATTCAGGGTCAAAAATTCATCAGAGATGAAGAATCAAAGAAAAAAAATAAGGCAAGGACCAGCGTCTAGATGCTAAAGCCAAGTGTCTATGCGCCCAAGAAGCTAAAAATTTACCTCAAATACAGAAAAGGCAAAAAGTCGCCCAGTGCCCTAGAACCACAACCAAAAAAAGGAAGAAATTAGGCGCTGCGCCTAGGAGCCGTATATCAGCGCCTAGGCACGCATTTTGATGGTTTGAGTGGTTCATCGGCGTTGATTTGCAATGGAAGATTTAAATACTCTTCTAGCCGAAGAAAGGAGGTATTCATGAACATTTCAGAAGCACTGCATTGGAGAAAAACTCAAGGAAGAAGTATCCAAATGCAAGTAAGTGAAGTTAGGAGGATTTTTGAGTGATTCAAAGCGTGTAATCTTATTGTAACTTCAGCATTTCATTAGAAAGTTAAAAAGACTCAAAAAGAAGTGGCAAACATAACTCAAAAGGAACACAACACACCAAGACCCATGTCATACCTAGACTGCTTAGGGAATTGTAAACATCTTACAGAAGAAATTCACTTAAGTATCAACTCCCCTGCGGTAAAACCAATTCTTTTGAACTAAAACATGCCTTTATTCATATGGTACGGTGTTGACCTCATTTTTGTGAGGTCTTGTCTTCTCCTCCTTAGAGCCTAGATTCTAGCTCTAGAAATTCCTATGGGCTATCTTAGAAAACTAGAATTGAGACTCACCCTTCTAGAAATTCCAGCCAACTCCTATTTTCCTTTGATGTCTAGCATCTTTGGCACAAGACCATCGTCTTATGAACGAGCGGTTATGGGCTATGTTGCGTAGATTCAAAGAAAATGTTCCAAATAGGACTTCAAGCCTTAGGAAAACATTCGTCACGACTTTTTCGTCACGTACACACACAAAATACACGAAATTCACGAATTTGCACGAAATCAGACTTCAATTAAGCCTAAGGGACGGGTGAAAATGCGAACTTATCCGGATGACCTCCGACGACGAATTGGACCGCGCCAACGCGTCCGGGATACCAATTTTGGTAGGAAAGGACACCCATATTGCTATACTTTCGACACGAGAAAATTGGCGCGCAAATCGGAGAATTCGTCAAAATGACCTCTGACGGCAAAATAAACTATGCCAGAACGTTCGGAATGTCGAAATTACCTAGGGAGGACACCTATTTTGCTTGGGCGCCGC